CCGAGGGCTCAGGCAGCCACGGGGCACCATCTTCTCGGGCGGCTCCGGCAGCGTGCTGCCCACGGCTTCGGACAAATTGGAGACCCTCTTGCCAACCAGAGTGCTAAGCTGTCCCCCATCCAAAAACATAACCATGTCCTTTCGGCTCTCCATCCCAGAGACCTCCGGGGGGAGGAGGGGGGAAGCCCCAAGTGAGCTCCTAGCCCCCCCGGCTCCCTGGGTCCCCAGAGGTCCGACAGATCTTGGCCGCGGGAGGGAGAAAGAGAAGCCAGGCGACCGGCTAGGCGCGGAGCGGCCGGAGCGCGAGGTGGCCAGTGGCGGCGGTGGCGGCGGTGGGGAGCTGGGGTCACCTTGTGATGCGCCCGCTCCTCTGCGCCGCGCCGCCTCTGGGAGGAAGCCCCATTGCCCTCTTCTTCTAAGCTGTCATCCTCCCGCTGCAATCGTCATTACAGTACCGCTGGTGACGCCACTCGGCGAGCGCAAGTGGATAAATAGAAACGTCTGCCACGGCGGAGATGAAAGGAGACCCGCAGCTAATGGCTCGGCAGTGATGCGCCAGGTGTGGGCCTCGCTCGAATGGGGAGGAGAGTGTGAAAGCAGAGAGACGCGCACACTGAGCGCGGGAGACAGCAGGCAGAGGATGCAAATGCGATTCCGCAGGAAGAAAGCCGAGCTGCGTGCGCGCCGCGAGTACCGCAGGGGCTGCGGGCTCGGTAATTGAATACGCGTTTGGGGTTTTTTATTGTTGCTTCGGCTTTGGTTTTCTTAGCTTGGTGCCTTGATCTGACACAGATAAGAGAACCCATAACCCTATTTTAGGGGTCTGAAGGCCGAGTCACAAGGCTCGCTGCTCCGGGCATTATTACAACCGCCGGTCCCTGGCGAGCTAACCTCAAACGGCTCCAGAGTCTCTGTACAAGCTACCGAACAACATAGTCCGCCCTCCCCGAGCTGTCTGGAGAGCTTGAACCTGGGGTGTTCTCTCCTCTCTTCCTCTTCCCAGCCCTACCCAGCTATCTCCCTCCTCCTGGGAACAACCTTTGCTATTTTTCTTCCCCACGGGGCTGGAGATAAATGTCTTAAATTTTTTCTTTAAAGACCCGCCGTGGCTGCTGACTCAGTGTTTGCTTTTTTTTTTTTTTAAATTTCCCCTCCCCTTCTAGGTGGCCTGAGGTTTCTACTGCCCGGCTTGACCTCCAGGCGCGCTCCTTCGTAGAAGAAATCGCTTTCCCACTTGCTGGGGCCTCGCCTGCACCTCAGGTATGTAGGGTGGGGAGCGGTTCTGAGAGTGGCCTCTTCTCGCCCGTAGTTTAAGGTATTCATTCAGAGTCAACGAATTCCCCCCAAAACAGGTTTTTCCAGGGCAGAGGCACCGACTAATGCGGCCACTCCTGTGGCCGTGCCAGAGGCCCTGCTGCCCAAAGGCACGGCTCTCACCAGAGCCTTGGGGCAGGGGCGCAGCCAGCGTGGGCGGCAGTATTGGGCAGCAGAGAGGTTCCACTCACCGGGTTCTCCCCTCCCCTGCCTTTGGTCCTGAAAGAGACGTCACCAAAAATGCCCAGAAAGAGCAAGTGACTGGGTGCTCTTATGAGTCCTTGAGGACAGGAGGGGACCCCCACGCAGAGCTGGGGCGGGGCGTGTTGTACTTGGTGAGTTAAATGGAATCGAATGGTGCCTTTAGGAACCCCGCCAGGTTCCCCGCCAGGTCTTCCGGGGAAGGGGAGCCAGAACCTTTAGGAAACAGCGCCAGCTCAGAGCAAGCTGCCAGGCCAGGCAGGTGAGGGCGAGAGGCAGGCCTCCCCGGAACTGCGGCGTCACAGCTCTCCTTCCCACGCCCCGCAGCCCTCCTAGCACTAAACCACTGAGGCTGCCCCCTCCATGCCCTGATTCAAAGCCCCAATCCTGGGATTCTAAAGAAAGGTCCCTCGGTGGTGATCTTTTTGTCTTTCTATCTCCTGCTTTCTTCTCCTCCTCCTCCTCCTCCTCCTCCTTCTTTTTCTCTTGAAATTGATTTCAGAAAGGGAGAGGGAGAGAGAGAGAAACATCAATGATGAAAGAGAATCACTGTTAGGCTGCCTCCTGCAGGCCTCCTACTGCGGATCGAGCCCAAAACCCAGGCATGTGAACTTGACCAGAATTGAACCTGGGACCCATCAGTCTGAAGGCCGACACTCTATCCGCTGAGCCAAACCAGCTC